CGCTTGGCGTTCCTGACTTGGCGTTCTTGGCTTGTCGGCGCAGTGGGGGTACAATAGGTATAGAGGTACGTACTATGTATGTACAAGCAGAAGAGAGTAGGGAAAGGGGGGGCTTGAAAAATGGCGGAAGGGGGAGGGGGTAAAGCCACCCGAAAAGATCCGGCAGGCCAAGACGATATCGCATAGAAAAAAATATGAAAAAATATGGTTCGTCGGTGAATTCGGCGAAATTTACAATGCCAACGCTGACAAGTAATATGTCTTTTTTCTTTTTTTTCTTCTTCTGTCCCGTCTCTATTCCATTCACTTCTTTGTGTTGTGCGATGTGGCAAAGTCTTCGAATCAGCTCAGCATCGTTTTCGTTGTTTTGTGGCAGAGCAAAAAATATGACAGATAGTGATATACATGATATACCTAACGTAGTGAACACTATTTGGCACTAGCGCAGCAGAACGCGCAAACCCAATGGGCGGGTGAACAAAGCCAAGACCAGGGCTCATTTTTTTATTTATTTCTTGTCCCTTCGATAGTAGTACCTACTATGTACTGTAGCGTTATCGGGTTCCAACGCTATTGAAGAAACGCCTCGCCCGGCACTTGCTAGGCCCAGGCTCATCCAAACAAGCTCTTACATGCCAGCAGGGGTTACAAGTAGAGTTACAAGGAAGCGGCTAGGTTTAGAGAAGGCCAGGCTCAGAGGCCCAGGTTAAAATCACAGAGGCATTAGCCATGTGGATCCCCGGGCATGCAACGCCTGCAAGCCCAGATGTCAAAGCCGCGCCGCTGTCGTCACCAGGGATTACCCCTGTCTTATCTTTTCCCTTTTGAAGTTCGAAGCTAGGGAGCTTTTCACATGCGAAACAGACAATATGGATCTCGGAGCGACTTCTTGAGACACGAAACGGATATTTTTATCTTCCCAAACTTCATGCTTCTTTCTCCCCATCTACTAACTATGGTACTAACTATGGTATGGTATGTATGATACTGTTGAATTTAACTGACTGTGTATTGTATTAGATGGTATTGTGTACCGTTATGTTGTTGTTGTTGTTATACTGTGTGCGTGTACTGTGTACGATGTGTATATCCAACATCTTGTATAGCACCGGTGTTGAGGACGGTATAGTATGGTTATGGAGCGTTGTGCTCCCCCGGGGCACCCAATCCATCATGAGATTGGAATTTGGAAAGGATGCGGGTCTTTTTTTTTTTTTTTCCTCTTACCTATAATACGAAATACAGAACGTTAATTTGACATCTTAGCTACGTTGGATAACCCAGTCGACGATGCTCCACACCTTTGCGATTCTGGCCTTCTCGAAATGGTAGGTGGCGTGCTCGTAGAAGCTCATGGCGCCGCCTTTTGGGCTTCAAGCCAGCCGGCGTGTCGATGGGCTCACCGATTAGTGCGATCCGTTCCGCTCTTTGCTGCCTTCGCTCGTCCACGATGTCGGTGGGGAGGTTGATGACAAGGTCGGGATTACTGCGAAGACTTCTTGTATCAGAAACCGGTTACTAGGTACCCTCTTCCCGTTAGAAAGTCTTGGTGTTGTGGATCACCTGCAGGTAAACAAATTTGTGCAGGTCTGTCCCCATCGTTTGTGTGTTGATACAGTTGACACAGTTGGTATACACCCTGTGCATAGGTACTCTCTCTCTCTCTCTAGTCCGCGCGCGGATGGTCTTCCGTTCAAAGAGCATCTTGGCAGAACCTCGTCGGTGATAAGTTCTGGCGTGTACCTTGCATCGGGGTTTGGGAGTTGGCGTTGCATCTCAAGACAATCTATCAATCGGAGCCTTGGACACTTTCCTGCCGTAAATCCGTTGAACAATCGTTCCTTGAGCAACTTGAACAAAACAACTCTGCCCGGCAATACGGCACTGTCGACGGCTACACTCGCAAGCTTAAACCTCACGAGGACGGTTGGTTCCATGCGCTCTTAGGAACACTCAACTGCCACAGCATTGGTGGTAACGCTCGACATCGCCAGTCTTCCTTATTTCGGGTATACAGGCTTGAGGCGTCAAGTCTTGGCCCGCTCTTAACGAAGTGTGAGTGCATAGATCTTGGCGCTTTCCATCATCTTCGTTCGTTGATGCATCTTGATAATGGATCTGTACGCTGTTTCGATATCGGCCATCACGGTCATCAATTCTTCAACTTAGCCGTATTTCGCTTGCCGCAAAGACGTCTTGGGGTTGCCCAGAGTGTTACTCCATAATGGAACCGTCTTAAGCTCTCACATGGTATGTGCGAGTTGAAATTGTTGTTGAGTGCCGAGACTGAGCGCTCCGCAGAAGGACCACGGATAGGATGGAAGTCGAAGGGGCGCACCGATCGGCGGCAATACCAGCTCAAAATTGCCATTGTGTTTCTTGGCCTTTAATCTTATCCAACTATATGCCAGTATCCTGTACAGCACGTTTCTTTCCAGGTTCCCGTTTGGTTATATGGCCAATAGCAATTCCAAGTTTCAGTACCTGACATTCGTAATCATCGAGGTCGCGATACTTGGCGAGCATGAGACTGGTCAAGAGATTGCCATTGCTTAACATGACCACTGCGCCAGGTCCGACGCCGTACCAAGACCACGGAGAGGTTCCGATCTTAAAACTCGAAACGTATTGCTTACACCATTACCGCAATAGGAAAAGATGCGTTGGGCTCGAACGAAGCAATCGTCGGGTAACTATAAATGGATAACACATAGATCCTCAGCTATATGATAGAGATAAGGAACCCTGTATGCCAAGCAGCGCTACTAAACGCTGGGAAGCATCTTTTGGACATCCCGGTGCAAAAATAGATGGGCGGACATGCCCGTTGACGACGCGGCGGAACTCCCGAGCTGTCTTTACCCCCTTTTCATTTGTGCCTGTGTAACACCTTGAGGCTATGCGATTCCGCTCTATAGAAAGTCTTCGCTTAACGATTGTGCAATGCGACAGACTGATGATGAGTTGTTTCTTGGCTGGCATGTGTATATTAAGCAGTTTTCCAGTAGCGGCGGTTACAATATAACGGGAGCGAATGAACAGGTTCAATTGGTTTTTTTCTTCTTCTCAGCGATATAAATGGGTGGCGACTTAATGTCGAGAGGTTGCATGAGTCTACGGGGTCACCTTGATGTATACACCATTACGCTCTACAACACAACTTGCCATGTGAAAATGGCCTTGTAAGTGCATTTTTGCTCCCAATGTCATGCTTGCATGACGTCTAATTTTTTCAATCTTAAACATACTTAACTCTGCCGAAGATGCATGTACTAACATAGCCTCTACATAGGGGAGATCTACATGTTAATCTTTTAATTTTCTTGGTAAGAGGTAAAGTAAAGTAACCAACATTTGGTTTGATAATTTAAAAACAACGCTTGAATATATTCGGTTCGAATGAACACCATCCACTGCCATTAAAAAAAAATCCATGCCAATCTCCCCATTGCCAATGCCCTCTACAGAGTACAAATATGTAGGTATTTATTCCTTTATCCCTCACTCTTTTCTATCCAAGATTGTGTCCAAGACATACAGGCCCACATGTAGATCATAGAGACGGACGCTTCCCGTTCGGTAATTGTAGTGTCGCATCTGGATGTCCCTCTTAGCTTCATGAATACCATTGTACCCCCGAGTTTTGTCTGTTGAAGCATTATCTTGAAACACGCATATTGACCTGTGTATACACACAACTAGTGTTACTATGTACTGGATGTGCATGCCGCACGTACGGCTATCACGGCCATATCTCGCGATGGAGAAATAGCTTATTCACATCGTGACTCGGCGAGGGAACCCTTTTGGACGGCATATTAGCCACAAGCGATGATGCGTATCTTGGCCAAGTAGATAACGCCGACCTCGTGCGTTGTATTCTCGCATCGTCGGCAGTGACGGTGTCCAACTTGGTAAACCTCATCCGGTTGTGTCAGCTACCTACCCAGTAAGTAGGTACCTGTCCGTCCATCGCATGTCGAAGCGCCACAAGCACCAGTTGTCATACGTGTGATAGGTACAGTATCGTACCAACATCAGTACTCTGTGTTATTCATTACTGACTTATAAAACGAATCATCTCAGTCAATAGCACTGCTGACATCAAATATTAATATCAGACCGCTACTCCGAAGTTGAATAGTGAGTGACACGGCGTGCACATGTCATGTACAACCATCCGAGCCCGTCTATCGCGGGCGGAACGGCACGGGTGGTGGATTCCAATGTCGACATCGAGCAACCGGCACACTTATCCGACCGACAAATTCCCGCTTGATATATACACCCCAGAGGGAGAGCTGTGGGCTGTTTTGAGGTTATTCGAATGTGCTAGAAATTGGAAGGTCGTTTGTCTTAGATTCCAACACTTGGTTTGCTCAGGATCTCCGGCTAAAAAAGGACTAATGCGACCCGACGGGATGTCGTGCATGTATGTGCGGATGGCATCCCGCCTGCAATAACTGCAAAAAACCAAGAGGCTGGGCAAGGCTTGGGCTGCATCTTTCGCCGAGTCGCCTCAGCTAGGGGGGCTCATATTATAGCCTACCTACTCATATAACGCCATCCTTGGCTTCGAGTGGCAGATTTTTTCAACGGCATACTTCTTCGGTCGTATCATGACAAATATTTACACGACGCATTCGGGTTCCACGAGATCTTTAGGGACGATGGCGGCGCGAATGTCGGACTTGCCGACGAACCGAGTCTCGATAGTCTTACAAGTCTCTGATACCAGATGCTCGCGTGATGATCTTCTTGACGATCTCCGCGAAAAACTTCACTAAATAGAGTCATTGTAACGTGCTGTCTAATCGATCAACGGACAACATTATCCGGAACAATTACAGCAATAAACAGGAGTAGAAGCTCGAGGAAAAACATGGCAAATTAAGATATCTTATGTAGGTACCTATGTAAAGAAGGTAGGTACTATCAAATTATTGACAAAGAAAAAAAAGGCGGTATCAATGCCAAAACCTCCTCGTCCCCTTTGACTCCTAATCAGTCTCTGCCGGCCTCACGCTCTGCGGGTTGTGGAACAAATCATTTGGGTCCCACTTCGATTTGATAACTCCTAAAGCATCTAGGTTCGGGCCCCAATACGATGCCTGAGCATCTGTTAACGATGGATCGACGTATCCGGGGTATGTTGTCAAAGTCTGCGCAGAACCGCTCTTGATTGTGGTCATGATGCCGTTCATGAAGTCCTTCGTGTCCTGGTTCACGGTAGTAATACCGATTCCGTATCCCTGAGCAAACAGGACCTTGTCTCGGTGGGAGTATGCGGTCGCATTCATTGGAATGTCGCTAACAGCACCGCCGCTAGCATCGAAGATCAGGAACCAAATAAGTGTGCCTCGTTTCGCGTCCTCGATGTATTTCATCAGCTTAGAGATCGTATCCGGAGATAGCAATTCATCTCGACGAAAAGCTAAACTCTTAGCAGCGAATGCGACATGGAGTTCCGAAAGCCAGAGGGCGGCATCCTCGGCCTGTTGCGCGATCACGGCTAACCAGTCGTCGACAACTACCGATACATTTCCAACAGGAATCTTGTCGGGAATGCCAGTAGCTTTCCACTCATCTTCTGTTCCGTAAAACGTGGCAGTGATGACAGCACCAAGCTCATGCATCACAAATTCAGTACCGAATCGTCGGTCTAAGTTAGGATCCGAGATAAGGTCCTGCCATTGTTGGTAGACAGGTATCAAGTCGGTGGGCTTAGAGAAGGTTAGTGAGAATGAGTACTGCACGACGTTACCAGGTTCGGGGTGCGTCTTGACGACGAACTCTGTGATGACACCGAAACCTGCGCCTGCTCCTTTTAATGCCTATTGTTGATATGAGCGAGTGCCATCCAAGTTAGATTCTTAAATCAGATACTCACGAAGAAGAGATCACTATTCTCCTTCTCGCTAGCTCTTTTAATAGAGCCATCTGCGGTAACTACTTCAACTTCGATAACGTGATCGAGACATGATCCCCACATACGTGACGAAGGTCCAAGTCCACCCTTGCAGCAGCATTATCAGCAAGAACTCTCTCATACTCAAAAATAACTGGACTAGAATACACTTACAATAGTAGCATGTCCACCAATACCAACGCCGGGACACGTTCCGTGGGATATGGCACGCTTGCCGTTGTTATGAAGCTTAGTGGTCACATCGGAAAGCCTAGTACCCCCACCGATGGAAGCTTGCCACGTGTTGGTGTCCATGGAGAAGTTCTGAAGATTTACGAGGTCGATAACAAGTTCACCATCTTGTCCTCCGAGACCTGTTGCTTATGCATTAGCTCCGATCTTCACAACGCAGCAGCGCAAGTTCTATTTTCAGTTTTGGTGTGGTGCGTACCATAATTCCTGTATCTCTATCAGTAAAGCCGAAACACGACAAACAAGTATGCGATAGTTCGCGGCACGCTTACGCATAGGAATGACCGCCGGATTTTGGCTGAACCTTGATGTTGTTCGCGACGGCGCACTTGATAAAACCCGACACATCTTGGGCGTTGTCCGGCCTCGTCACCGCAATCGGCTCCACCGGGATCTCGAGGTTATATCGGTTCACCCAAGATGCTTGGTAAAGCGGATGATCGGGAAACGCGACGCAGTCGTTGCGGCCATTACAGACGGCGTTGAGACAGTCGGAAAGCGGAGTGCTCGGTGTCTGCCCCATTATACTCAGAGACATACGCAACTTAGAATATGATTTATGAAATAGGGGAAGTAGGTGTTTAGGGTAAGAGGTATTATAGGAGTTATGTTTAGTACAAGAGCTTTTGAGAAAGCTTGATTTTCCCCTAGGATTAAAAGAAAGAAGGCGTGTGTCTGCCAACTCGACAAGAAGTCGCATACGAGCTTCTTTTTATTATTTATTATTGTTACGGTTCCTTGCATATTCGATTGTTTCCAGGTGTATTGCCACTCTTTCCTACCTTAATACCCTGTTACCTCCAGATAACTACTTGCCCAATAGGGACTTACGGGGGGACCTCTGACAAGGATCGAACCCCTCGGCCAAATCCAGCGCCTTAATTGAGTCACCATTTTGTCTGGTCATTTAGGTATTCACTGAGACCTTTCTAGATTGATAGGATTCCCGTGGGCGTTGTCTTACGTCTCAACCTTTGCTTTTCTTGGTCTTTTCCTTGCTGCTGGTTAGACTAATCTTGTCGTGAGTCCGCCAACGTAGGACGAAGAACACCAGGGTGGAACTATTTGCTATAGACCTCACCTAAGCAGCCACATAATTTGATCAGATGTTGAAGCCACAGAGAGAGAGAGACAGGGAGACAGGAAGAGACAGACAAAGAGGAAAGTGGTTTATCTTTTTCACATCCAGCTTGGAGTAGTTCAAGTTACGCTTACCGTACATTTAATAGAATAGGTAATCGTCCCACCTCTTTCGGTGTTTTCTGCATTGACCACAAGGGCCCCCAAAGAGCTTGGTCTCGAAGAGCGGCGCCAATTTAGCCAATTACAGCTACCGAAGACTACCGATGTATTCTGGGGATGGATCGCCTTTCTTTGATTCGCCAGATGACCTCGCCTGGTGGTAACGTAGACCTTCCAGGGGCACTATACAGCCTGGGGTAGCTAGGATAGGTAGGTGTTATGGTTTTCGTAAATCGACGATGTACGGCAGTCGAAATTCAACATCCCCTCTATGCATGTTTGCATGGGTATATTGCAGAATTTCCCCTTTTTATTTTCTCATATCGGATGCTTGTATTCATTAACCATTACTAACCCATAGGTTGGATACCAGGTACCTATACAGTCTGTCCATCAGTACCTTGGTATGTATTGGCCTTAGAATCACATATTTTGTTTTTCTCGGTATGTGAATGGTGCATCAATCCTGACGAAATGGTTCATAATTTGATGTTTGCCTATGGCGAAAGAAAATCATGAACACCCAGTTAACGCGTCTGATATAGTTTGTTGTTTGCCAAGCTGCTTCACGCAGAGCCGCATTTCATGGTCTTAGACGCCACTGTTATCGTGTCACTTTTTAGAACATACCTACCTGTACGTTAGGTTAGGTACCTAAGTCTGACTATGAAAAGATTGTCTCACGCATCCGAATCGAATTCGGGGCCCCCATTGTTATTAACAAAGACCCATTCCTAAATGATTGGTATCTCGGTACTCTTACCTGCCGACAATAAGCGATGTTACCTGAGGTACCGTCATTGGAAGTTGGTGCATCGCAGCGTACAGCACTACTTAAGCTAGGTACCGTCACATCCGTACCCATAAAGTTCCATGTTAAAGTGATTTACCTAGCGTTGTTAGTATTCAAGGAGAATATGGAAGAGGGTGAAAGATACTATAGTTGATATATATAACAGGTTGGTCGGTACCCGAGGTTGTTATTCACAACCAAGTCATATACTATTAGAAGAAATAGTTAAGATACAACCCCGTTTCATTCCATCGGCCACATGACCTCAACTGCATGCTGCATATGCTCAAAGAAAGCAACGTACAACCTAATACACGAATCATGGGGAAACTGGAAGCTTGTAAAGCCGAAGATGAACAACCTAACTTTTTAAGTACATGTACTTTATATATACACATTCCAGAACATTTACGTCTCATCCCTTTCCAACGTTCTCATACCAGATTCCCGATACCATCAATCCGGAAAGATAGTTTCTTCGCTATAGTTTAATTCAACCTGAACAATTATAAACGACATTATCAGGAAAAGATTCTTCCCAATGTCGGTTGTAGGGATAGAGTCAGAATTTGTCAAATAATTGTCAACTCAGCCCTATATTGTCATTAGGTACATCATTTAACATTGGAACTTGCACTTTATATCAGTCGATTGTTTCTTTTGTCTCTTCAGCTCTGCATCGCCGCGTCTTTCCTTCGCTAAGCGGTGGCACTTGTAACGACTTCGGAGCCTGCCAGCTATAACTCGGCATACCTGACGAATCCAGATAAGCCAGTGTCTCTTCCCCCGCATCTTTAGAAGGAATACCTAAATCTCCAAAAAAGAGAAATATGCTCAGACGAGGCGGACTTCGGAAGCCAACCCCCAAGTACTCATCCCTGTCTTTAGCCCCTCCCCCGCCTCATATTACCATTATTACCCCTTATCCTATTCGTACTCGTCCTTTTACTTCCCCACCCTCACTATGGTTTGCACTATCGTCTGCGCTATCGTCCCCAGTGTCCCCGCAACGGGAATGTCGGGTAGATGATGTCCCACCTTGTTCCTATCTCCCTCGACTTGCCGGACCCTTGTCCACTCACCTGTCCATCCCGACTTCATGGACCGAAACCGCACCTGTCGATAGCGCATGCAATCGGTACGGAGGGGGATTGTTCGGCAAAAACTTGGCTTGCGCTGGTGTAGCCAATGGGCTCGACCGTCGTGGCTCAAGTGTGTGTCAACGCCATGTTAATAAGACCTACCGACGTAGCACACGTTTGTATAGTGATTCAGTTTCTACAACTGACCCTTCAAAGTCTCTGCTAGTCAGTGCTAGATCATATAGTACAAAAGCACTTACCCAGCCCTTTTCAAGGTCTCGAGGAGCTGTTAAAAGCACCCGACAACAGTCTAGTGCTTTAGACGTACTCAACCAACCACAAAAACAACAACCACAACAACTCCGCACATCCTCTACGTCTAAGCCAGTCATGTATACAGCGTCGTTTGCCTTTTTCGAGGCCATATGGGAGGCCGGTGTCACCCACTGCTTCGTCAACCTAGGCTCGGATCATCCTAGTATCATCGAAGCTATGGTAAAGGGACAGCGGGAGGCTAAGGGCAAATTTCCTCGTATCATCACATGCCCAAATGAGGTACGTTCATAAGAAGAAAAAAAAGTTAAGGTGCACTCGTGAGATGAGATGCAATGGAAACCTGCTTGCATCTGCGCAGCCAATTAAAAACAACTCAATCTAACACAGGGCGACTAGATGGTAGCGATGTCAATGGCGGACGGCTACGCACGTCTAACAGGCAAGCCACAATGCGTTATTGTTCACGTCGATGTCGGTACACAGGGCTTAGGAGCCGCAGTCCACAACGCTAGCACCGGACGTGCTCCAGTCCTCGTCTTTGCGGGCTTGAGCCCATTTACACTGGAGGGAGAGATGCGCGGTTCGCGGACTGAGTATATCCACTGGATTCAGAACGTTCCTAATCAAACCCAGATCATCGGCCAATATTGTAGATATGCAGAGGAAATTAAGACGGGTAAGAACATTAAGCAGATGGTTAACCGTGCCTTGCAATTTGCTACAAGTGCACCTCAAGGCCCTGTGCATCTAGTGGGCGCAAGAGAAGTGATGGAAGAGGAACTTAACCCATACTCGCTTGACCAAGGAGTCTGGGACGCGGTAGAGCTGGGTGGGTTGCCACCGTCTGCTCCGCAGGAAATTGCAGAGGCACTACTCGGTGCTGAGAACCCATTGCTTATCACAGGATACGCGGGTCGAAACCATAAAATACCTGGCGCTCTTGTAGAGTTAGCTAATACCGTGAAGGGGCTGCGCGTACTCGATACCGGCGGTAGTGATATGTGCTTCCCCGCGTCCCACCCCGCCTGGCTAGGCCTCCGATTTGGTATCGACCCCTGGATAGAAAAAGCAGATGCGATCGTCATACTAGATTGCGATGTACCCTGGATCCCGACGCTAAATAAGCCGAAGGATGGCACAAAAGTTTTCCATATTGATGTTGACCCCTTGAAGCAGCTCATGCCACTGTTTTACGTACCAGCTCAACACCGATATCGCGCGGACCCTCTACTTGCAGTTCAGCAGATTATTTCCGAAGCCAAAAGCAAGGCTTCAAGCATCGATGCGGCTGTTGCCACGAAGAAATGGGATGCCCTTCAGGCATCATACAAACAACGCCTAGATACTATAGCATCCAATGCAAAACCGGCCGATGACGGTACCTTCGGCACTGGATATCTCAGCAAAACCCTACGCTCTCTGTGCCCGCAAGATACTATCTGGGCTATCGAAGCGGTAACAAATACTGCATTCGTGCACGATAATCTTCAGCCAGAACTGCCAGGTTCTTGGATCAATTGTGGTGGAGGTGGCTTGGGATGGTCTGGTGGCGGCGCGCTGGGCATCAAATTGGCAACGGACGCAGAAAACGGTGGGAAAGGCAAGTTCGTCGTGCAAATTGTGGGCGACGGCACGTTCCTCTTCTCCGTCCCTGGTAGCGTTTACTGGATTGCCAAGCGCTACAACATTCCGGTGTTGACCATCGTGTTAAACAACAAGGGTGAGTTCTCAATTGCATTTTCAAGAGTTTCAGAAGACACGTAGATGAAACCAATCGTAGATGAAACTAATTATAAAAAACAGGATGGAATGCCCCTCGAAAGTCGATGCTTCTTGTGCATCCGAACGGCCTAGGGTCGACTGCAACAAACGAGGAAATCAACATCTCGTTCGACCCCGTTCCTGACTACGCTGGTATTGCCAAGGCCGCTGCTGGCGGCGACCTGTTCGCTGCGAGGGTCGACAAGGTGGCCGATCTTGAGCGTACTATCAAAGATGCCATCAAAGCTGTGGAGGGCGGTCAGAGTGCTGTCTTGGACTGCAAGGTCAATCTTGGATCGTAATCTCAGATCTATGTGTGACACTATCAGTGATGGGCAGAATAGGAGTAGCTATATCCGCAGGCCTCGAAGGCTAAAGTGAATATTAGGTTATGTCACATGTAATACTCAAGACGTATATTAGGTACATATATTGATTAGGGACTACGGGAGTCCCGATTAAGCGATGAAAGAGACAGTTTACTAACGAAGAGCATAGGTGCCTTTCATAGAAGAGATTGATTCATATAAATTGGGTTTCAGCGGAAATACACTGATTAAGATAGGTACCTACATGTAGCTAGATATCTTAACTTTAACGATACACACCATCGTGGCCTGATTTGATGGTGGTTCGACCAAGTGAATCCATCTGAGCAAAAGGCATATGAGGTAACTCGTCTTACTAAGCTCTCGCATTGGTGGGACTTGTCCGTTATATTGAACTTCTGACGGGGGTATTGAGATGTACTTTAGGTACCTAGTAAGTGTATCATAACGTCTCTCTACTACCTCAGGTACCTACTCGTGATGAGTAAAGCAATGTCCTACTTTTCGTGTTAGATATGGTCGCGTGTCTTACCAAATACCTTCCCCACGAGGGGAAGGGAGGACGTTTCGGTATTTAGTGCTGATTTATATGCTTCGTGGCGGAGAATCCTAGGGGAGAGATGAATTTTTGGAAACGTCACCTGGACTTATAAGCGTAACTTGTTATGTATTAGGTTAAGTTAGGCAGTTATTTATATTCTTGGAGAATCATTGTGTTGATCCTTCAGAGGCGGGGAATACCTACGTGGTGGCTTCTTATAAGAGGGTCGTGTAATTCATGCACTAAGGGTCTTGCCGCAGGTATTGTACACCAGCTTCGATGTGATACCTAGGAACGCGCAGGCGAAAATGTCTGATACGTTGGGTATCTCGTTATTCTTTTGAGATATCATAACTCGGCCTCATATAAGGTAGGCTAGGTACATATACCACAATGGGTGATGGTGATGTGAACTGAGAAGCACGGTCATACCTGTTAGTTTCCGCGTGGAGTACGACAGCCGTTAAGTCGTTGAGCCTCCCACGCCAACGCTGGCGATTGACAGCCTATACTTTTAGCCTATGAGATGGGGCCTAGGTGTATTAGGCACCCAAGGTACTGTATATACATTGTCTTTCCACCTCTGGTCTCCGATGGGTTGATGTCCTGCAGAACGCATATGGACTGCCGTGGGGTTTGAGTTGGAGAGATTGTCGATCAGTGGTAAGCTTGGGGTAATGCCAAGAGGGAAGTAAGCGGCCGTAGTTGCGGCCGTTCATTAATACCTAACCTATATGGTGGTGATATCTAAGTCTGTACAATACAATAAACCTGTGGACAATCGGTCACTTGCGCCAATCTTTTAGCTACGCTGGTATGGGATTTCATGTCATCTTCCCCTTGCATGAAATTCTACGAAATGAGACTGTTAATGAAGAGCTCTAATGCAAGATCGTATCGACTAAATTGTCCAAGTGGATATCGTTAAGCCTGTCGTCGAGTTCTGGACCGTGGAATATGTGTCTTCCGAAAATCTCTTCGTATCAGCTGGTTAAGTGAGCACATAGGTTAGTATCTTTTTCACCAAGTTCTCTCTCTCTCTCTTTTTTTTTTTTTTTTTTTTTTTTTTTATCTTTTTCTTTACGTCGTTTATATCAAAATTTCGAAAAGGCGGCGATGCATACCGAATGTTACCCTACCACGCAAAGCCTACCACCCATGTTCCTGTCCATTACTTCACGCTCTCTTCCGCATTGGCATTATACTCACATATTTGTCTGAATCTGAGCAAATTATATAGATTGGGTAGGTACTTAGGTACCTAAGACATAACCTATTAGGTTTCTCAATGACCCCCATAAGCCTCTCGTTACTGCTCAACAGTGGCGATTCACACGGAAGTTCTCTTGCAACACAAGATAAGGGAACATATAATAGAGGTTCGAAATGGGCCACTTACACCTCGACACGGAGCTTTGTCTTATTGAGATCGGACTTGGGATTCGTTTCTTAAAGGCTAACTCGTAATTATTTTCGTCATACCTTTGCCCTCGGCAAGTTCTGTTCGTCCTTTGCTTTCTCTTGTCCAACCCTACCAACTTAGGAGATTGAGTAGTATCGCATCGTAAATTCAATAGTGATAAGCGCAAAATAGCTATTAGGGTGGGATGCAATTCCGTAGGTAACCTCTTAGTGGGTTGGTGGGGTTGTGCTGTGGTTACTGGTAAGTTGTAACAGCTGTGGTCTTCCAATTCGGGGCGGTTATACAGATTATAGGGTCACGGGTCTTTTGAACCTGCAGGACAAGTTCCTGTAGAAAGCATGTAAGCTGCAAGTGCTTTCGGACCCTTAAAGGTAGATCCTTACCTAAACTTGACACGAGGAGGTACCTCATCTCATGTACGTACTGGAGTCTGGACTGGTCCTAATGCTAAGAGGTAGGTACCTCTTATTTGCTTTGTTAGACGTAACTTCCAAGGTTGTGTTGTATTCATATACCTTCAGGAACGAATTGAAACCCAACCCACAGGTACCTACTAACACAGTATTCACCAATTTACCCGAGGCCAGACCTAATCTTTTAGTGTAGGAGGAATTAAACAGAAGTACATAACATGTAGTAGTACCTATTGTGTAATACCACATTGAGCTAGGTACCTAACTGTCTGACTGCTTTAGGTAATATGTACCTAATCCTTTATTAAGGGCTCCTTACCTCCATGTCTTTTACAGGGGTAAAGGTTCTAGGAGAAAGAATAGAAAACCTTAAAAATCAGACAGCTGCTCCGAGGTCCATCATTTCTTCCCTAAAATCTGGTCCCTCATCTTAAATTCTTTGGCTTCTCCATCTAGTCTTGGCTTTCGGCTCGACCGCCGCTTATTCGAGCTTGGTTTTGTCCCTAGTTCCGCCCATCACGCGGCCTATTACTGTACTAGCATAGAATCCGGCCAATTCCGCCTTTCATAGGGTTTTTTTTTCAGTGTCAAAAAGAGTGGCGATGCTTCCACCGACCATCTCTTAGCTACTGCGTTTATTGTCAATATGGTTCCGCAGCCCTTGTCGAAACAGATCTATTAGATCTGTTGAGCTTCTGCAGCTAGCAAATTAAGTTGGGTAAAATATAGCTCCTAGCCCTTTGACAAGTCGACCGACAAGCCGGGACCTGCGGTATATCATTGTGTGTATTGGTAGCTGTTGTTGAGCTGCTCACCCTGTTGTTCTCATGCGAGACCATGAGTCGAGTCGCGGAACGGAGATCAAAACATCGCGAGCCTGCAGCTCGATAGCATATGGGATTATCTACCGACAAGCTGGATTGAATTCTCAGCGGTAATAGATTTTGGTTACCTACCTCTTTCCATAACATTGTTAGATTCGAGCTCATCCTATACCGTTTGAGTTGACCTCTCACGATACCATCGGGTAAGCGATAACTTGATCAACTACTTGGTACGAGGAGGAAAAGTGCGTCAAGTAAAATGGCAAGCGACGTCGGCGAGCCGGACGTTCCAGCCTCTAAAGCAGAGCAGGATGAAGAAAATCGCAGCGCGACACCGACTTCACCTCCTCCACCTCCCATTCCCTCAGCAGACCCGAAGTTGGTACTGCAAGCTCGAACGCCACCGCCGCTTCATACCGCTCCGAGTCCTTCCTCTCACGATCTCTTCAAGCTATCCCCAATTGCTGCTCTCAAGCTGCTCAGCGCTAGTATCGAAGCGCTTGTTCGCATTACGGGCGATATACCTCCAACACCCCCACCCGCGAGCCCAACCATTCCTAATATGCGTAGTATGCAACGGGAGAAGGCGGAAATTGTTAGATCTCTTTCGGAAAAGAGTCTGGTTCGACTGCGAGAACAGGCCGAAGCCCAAGCTCGAGCTCAAGCTCAGGCACAGACCCCGGGACAGATGACATCTACCCAGCCCATTGATGGTGTCCATCTCAAAAAGTCGTCTGCTTCTTCACCGCCCAAGAACACCCCTGAGCCGTATATAGTTATTGGTGCTGATTCGCAGCCACTCAATCTTCAGCACGGCGCAATTACGAGAAAATTCTTTAGTAAACAGCCTCCGCCGATCAGTATCGAGGACTATTTGCTCCGCATACATCGGTTTTGCCCTATGTCGACTGCCGTATATCTTGCAACGTCGTATTATATCTTCCGGCTCGCTGTGGAGGAACGAGCTATCCCTGTTACCCGGAGGAATTGCCACCGTCTACTTCTGGCGGGTCTGAGAGTAGCGATGAAGGCTCTCGAGGATTTAAGCTATCCGCACGCTAAGGTCGCTCGGGTTGGTGGAGTGAGTGAGATTGAATTGGCGAGGCTGGAAATTAGCTTCTGCTTTTTAACCGGCTTCGAATTGGTAATAGGGGAGGATACCCTCAAGAGCCACTGGGAGACATTGAAGCATGGTCATGGCCTTGTGGGCTTTAAGCTTGCTCAATCTGAAGATGATGGAATACCTACTTTGAAATTGGATGCGCCACCGAAAAGGGGGTAAAGTATAGATCCTGAGGAATACCTCTAGGCGTAGGCGTTACCGCGATGTTGCGCATATACATCGGGCGGCAGTCTGGAAGGGATGAAGAAAAGAGGGATGAAGAAAAAAAAATTAAAAAAATAACAAACACCTCCTGTGGCCCAGCCCAACACATATATTTAATCCCGGGTGTTGGCTACTGCGCCTCCCTACTTTCGATCTCTGGGACATTTCCTTTGCGACCAGATGCGTTCCTCGCCAATTTGGGTTCTCGCCGCGATGCAGGGGAACGGGTCGTTTCTGTGTGTAGGCACATATCGGGGATCGCCCACAAATCTCACCCCCCGTGGGGCTCGAATTGGGGTGCTCTCCAAGAGAGATTTTGGTTTGCGGCTATCTCGAGGCCATTCAATGTGACCACCAGCGGGTACAAGTCGAAATGATTTTTGTACTTATGAGGAATACCTAGTAAGGAGGGGGGCTACGAAGGTACCTAACGTTGCTGCGCGACGCGTGCCTACGTGACGCGTGATTCTTAGGCAGCCCACGCGGGGTTCCCGACCACTCTAGTGCAAAGAGACTGATGCAGGCACAGACTGTACATACACTTGGATCGAAGATATCTAGCTGCAGCATTTATATTTGGATCTGGACTGAGGAATCTATTAGATGTTGTGAATAGGGGAAAATTATATAGAGACTGGGAGGTAAATATATTCATCAGCTGGAAATAATGGAAGAACGAAGGCCCTGGACCTCGACGACATAATTTTGGTCATTTTCTACGCCCTCATAGGACGCGTTTATCTAGGGTTTATATTATAATGGCGGTAGTGTCAGAAGCATTTTTTTCGGAAGAGCATCATCGAGGAAGGGAGGTGTATGTGGACGAACTCATTCAAATGCGATACCCGAACGTCGTTACTTGTGAAGAGCATACTGAGTACTCTACTCTGGCATTGATTAATCATTTTGAGGCTTTCTATAGTTGTGCTACGACTATCAGCCTGCCAAGGTGTGGGTTATGAAAATAGGGGTAAGTGATTATCCTGGATTAATATCAAGAAATTGTCCATTGAGATTATTATTACATATTTGGATAAGGTCATGCCTCTTTCTCAATTAAAATATTGCGAATTATTGTGATGAATAAATTACATTAGTCGCATCCCTTGCCTCAGCAAGATCAGAGTATAGGAGGTAAGCTTCCGACAAATACATCCATATACTATTTCGAAGCTAATTGTATTTATATTAAATAAGTTTTTAAATGCTTAATAGCTTGACAGGAAAGTACGACGGAAGGGATGTTCTATGGTATTATTTAAAGAAGTTGTAAACCGACTTAAGAATAGGAGGTACGCTGCTTGGATTGTACCCCCTTTTTTAGTAACAACTACGCTCGCAACACACACCTACCTAACATACCAGATTCTTGAATCAATCTACCATTCACGTTCCATCTCTTGATCAAGGACTGTCAGGATGAAAACAGCATATCTTATTCTTATGAGCTTTCAGCTCTCGGACTCACCTTTGCAACGTCGTTAGAACGTAGAGCGGTAAGTTAGCCTCCTCCCCCGTGCTTGGGGAGCGGGTATGGGACTGGATAGCTGACGCCGGAAATCTTTATCGGGGCGCATACTCTTGCTACGAAACTTGCCACGAAAAAGCCGACGAGTGCTACAAGTCTTGCTGCGCCTGTCTCGATGTATGCGGTGGGAAGTACGATATCAACACACAGCCACGATGGGACTGCGAGGACGTTTGTATTGCGGCAGCATCTAAATAGGGTTGTGGTGAGAGATGGGATGGTGGTGGTCGTTACTAAAGTTTAGGCCATTGTGTTTGGAGAAGTGATAAAGCTCCACTCTACCTAACAATTTTAACATTCTTATCAACGTTTTATTAGTTAAAATACGGGAAGATGGGAGGTCCCGAGGCTATGACGGACCGGAAGGATTTATAGTTTAATATCCGATGATAGCCGTACCGGGCGGATAAGAGGTAGTACCTACTGGCGTTGCAATACATAAAGTACAGTGCACTGTGCCAGTTGCACCTGCCTAGCCTGAAAGTAGCTCTAACCATACCTTAGGTATGTGCGATACGAGAATCTTAAGACGGATCCCAGTTTCCCTTGGAATTCTCAGAAGTAGCATAAGAGTACGTGTGGCGCGGAAGTTCTTGACGGATATTCAAACTACCCCGCATCCGCGTTCATATTGCGAAATCATCCCACTTAAAACTTGCAACGCTTATAAACCTTCTAAAGCTTCTAAAGCTTCCTTGTCTTTCGCAACAGCAACAGGTAGACATATAACGACGGCAGCGACAGCGACAACAACAGTGAGGTCCACAATGTCTAAAGCTAATATAGACGTCGAGAAAATCCTGCAGGGGAAATACCCAGCTAAGGCGCATGCGAAGCGCGTAGTCGAGTATATCAGGTCCAAGATCCCTGATGCTACCGGTGTTCTATACTTGGAGGGACGGTCGGATAAGCTACTGGAAGACAGCGACGAGCCTGTTCCTTTCCGGTAAACTCTTCCTGCATTTAACCATTTCGAAAGGGCGACGCTAACCGCGAAACCTATGTACCTAGACAACGGAGAGCTTTCATGTACTTGACTGGTGTTGATGTCGCCGACTGCTTCTTCATCTACGATATCGCAACCGCACATTCGACCCTCTTCATCCCTCCCATAGACCCGGACTCGGTTATCTGGTCTGGTCTGCCATTGTCTCCCGAGGAAGCTTTGGCTAAATACGACGTCGATGCTGTCCTTCCCTCGACCGAGCTTAACCCTACGCTAGCTAGGCTAGGAGCTGCGCCCAATGCGACCGTCTTCGCCATCGCCGATCGAATCTCGGATGCTGTGACCTTCCTAGAATTCACCAACAAAGACTTTACCGTCCTAGGCGAAGCCATTGACGAGTGCCGAGTCATCAAGGACGAGTACGAAATCGCTCTCATCAAGAAGGCTAATGAGATTAGTGGTGTCGCCCACAAGGCGGTTCTTGAAAGAGTAAAAAAGGCTAAGAACGAGTATGAGCTGGAGGGAGTATTCGTGGGCGCGAGCATCGCCCAGGGAGCCAAGAAGCAGGCCTACCCTAGTATAGTTGCCAGCGGACGGGCCGCTGCTACCCTGCATTATGTGCATAATAACAAAGATCTAGCTGAAAAAGACCTGTTACTTCTAGACGCTGGTGCCGAATGGAATTGCTATGCTTCTGATATCGTGAGTTACCTAGCGCGAAATACTTGGTTCTTCATGGCCTTTACCGGCGAAAGAATATGTGGAGCTAATGAGGTCGCAGACGAGAACCTTTCCTATTTCCGGGAAATTTACAGAAGAGTCCCGAGCCATTTACGAGATCGTCCTCCAAATGCAAACGGAGACCATAGCCGCCCTAAAAGAGGGTGTGTCCTGGGACGAGGTGCATCTATTAGCGCATCGGATAGCAATTGATGGCCTCTTATCTCTGGGTGTCCTTAAAGGAGACAGGAAGGAAATTCTTGAAGCACGAACCAGCACTGCTTTCCTCCCTCATGGTCTAGGCCACTACCTCGGATTGGATACTCACGACACTGGTGGTCACCCTAACTATTCGGATCCTGACCCGATATTTAGATATCTACGAGTACGGGCGAACCTACCTGCTGGAAGTGTGATCACTGTGGAACCCGGTGTAAGTGATACTTACCTCGTTTACATTTACATTTACTCTTGTAAAGGTATGTACGACTGACTTAGTGGTAACAGATCTACTTCTGTGAGTTTATAATCAGGCCCTACTTGAAGGACCCTAAGCACTCTAAGTTTATCGACGAGAAAGTGTTGGACAAATACTGGGATGTCGGTGGCGTGAGGTATGTGGAATATACCTGTCCCCCCCCTTTTTTACGAGAATTCCTTGAGAGTGACTGACATATGAAACAGAATCGAGGATAACTTACTTATCACGAAGGACGGCTCTATCAATCTAACGGATGCGATCAAGGACCCCGATGAGATAGAGAAGATTATTTCCAGCAGCTAAGTCCCTAGAAAATAGGATAGGTTGGATAGTAGGTACGTATCTTAAGTATGAAAATGGATAAGTGGTTGAAGAATGCTCTTCTATTGGCACTTCGGGCCCAAGTTACCTACCTCACTTAATGAGCCAAGATGCAAATAAAAAGATGATACCAATACGTTTGAATTTTTGGCATTATTCTTTTGCCAATTGATTCTTAAGCTTGTCGATGTACCCTTTTCCAATCACTAGACAGTCTCGCCAAATACTTGCCATTAGCGGATGTTGTGTGTCGCCAGGGTTGTTCCGTCATCCTGCACGCGTCGCACGCCATCTACCCCCCCTTCTGCAGGCTCTTAGCACGGCGCGCCCCAGAGGTTCGGGATCTCGCCGAGAGACATAAAAGACATACATATTGGGGCTTGCAGATTGTGCATCCCCCATCCCCCTGCTCTCTAATCGCTATAACGCAATCCCTCCACCCCACGGCGTCACCACGCGCGAATATGGGGGTTTCGGAGAGGTCTGCCCGGGGTGAATCCCGGACGGGAGGCGAGAACGGAGGACGTAGCACAGGGAAAAGTTCGATTAAATAGGACGTTGTCGCGACCTTCCTTCTTCAGAATGTCTGGAGGTAAGCCGTAGTAGTAATACAAGCTCTATCTTTCAAAGCTGCTGGTATTCCCCATCATCGCCTGGCGACATATAGGCATTACAAAGGTACCGATCGAGTTGGCTTAAGCGTGCCGGGCTTGTCATTTATTCCGACGATGTCGCAGCTGCAGCTGGGCGTGCACGGCATCACGCTGGTGCCGCAGGGCACGGGGTACGGGCTCCTGATCGGGCTCGGGGTTGCCTTCTGCGCCGTGATCCTCGTCGCCATCAAGATCCAGCGCGCCTACCTGTCCGAGGACTCGGGCACCTCCGAGATGTTTATGGTCGCCAACCGCTCCGTCGGCATCGGGCTTACGGCCTCGGCCGTCTTCTCCTCCTGGATGTGGATCAACGAAACCGTCTTTGCAGCCGCCATGTGTTACCGGTTCGGCCTGGCCGTGCCTCTGGTGAGTATCTGTTCCCACCGCCCTCCCCTCCGGCGGCCCCAATGGGAATAAAAAAGAGGTTATGCTAATCTGGGTGGCTCAAGTGGTGGGCAACTGGCCTTTGCTTCCAGATCGCGCTGATGGCGGCGCTAGGAGTGCTGGCTAAGATACGAGTGCCTTACGCACACACGTCGCTCGAGATTATCAAGATGCGATATGGCAGGGTTGGGCACGTCGTGTTCATCGTGCTGAACCTGACTAACAACGTGTTCGGGTGCGCGTCTATGATCCTTACGGGCTCGCAGCTCATATACGGTATTTCGGGCATGCATTTCGTCGCGGCTACTCTTCTGATTCCCCTTGGCGGTAAGTTTGTCTATCTTATTGTTGGCTTTAGAATTATTGACGAAAGGGAAAACGAAGCTGATCTACTGTCTTAAATAGTGGTGTTGTATACGGCGGTAGGAGGCCTGAAAGCTACCTTCCTGACGGATTATATCCACACCACCGTCGCTTTGGTCCTCATCATGTACTTCACGTTGAAGATCCTGACCCACGAGGCTGTGGGCGGGCTTGGGGGCTTGTATGACAAAGTGATGGCCACGGCTGCCGAGAATTACATCCCTGGGAACTTTGAGGGATCGCTCCTAACTATGAAGTCTAAAGATGCTATTATCTGGGGTCTGATCCTCAAGTTCGGCAACTTGGCCCTCGTCGTTATGGATACGGCCTTCTGGCAGAAGTCCTTCGCTAGCGAGGTCTCAGCTACCGTCCCCGGCTATAACCTGGCCGCCATTGCCATATTTGGGATCCCCTGGGGTCTGGGTACTGTTATTGGCCTCACTGCGCGAGCCATTCACAACACCCCTATTTTCCCATCGTACCCGGGCCCCTTCACGAGCGCCGAGGTTAACGCCGGGCTCGTGATGCCGTATACGGTCAAGGCATTAATCGGTGACCAGGGTATAGTCGCTTTCTTCGTGCTGCTGTTCATGGCCTTGACGTCAACCGTCAGCTCGTCCATGATTGCCGTCAGTTCCATTCTATCATTCGATGTGTACAAGAACTATATCAACCCTAAAGCAAGCGATAAGCGACTCTTGAGAGTGAGTCATTTGGCTGTTGTCGGCCATGCCATCTTCATCACGGGTATCTCTCTGGCTTTGAATTACGGAGGCGCAGACATGACCTGGATCGGATACTTCCGCCCCATCCTCTCCTGCCCGGGTATCATTCCCTTAGCCTTGACGTTGTGCTGGTCCGGGCAGACGCGTCTCGCCGCCATTGTATCTCCGGTCCTGGGCTTCTTCACCGGACTGGCTATATGGCTGGGTACGGCTAAAGCTTTGTACGGCACCATCAACTTACAGACGACTGAAGCTGGGCTGCCGGCATTATACGGGGCCTGCGGCTCGCTATTCACTCCGGCTATCTACTCGGTTCTGATCTCGAAATACAAGCCCTACACGTTCGACTGGAGAGAGTTTCTGCGCATCGAACTTGCTGACGAGTTCCGTATCGACCCCGAAAGCGAATCTTCTTCCGCTGAACAATCGGACGAGTCGTCGATCAGCGACGAGAAGAAATACACTAACCCGAAAGATAACGAAAAACGTCCCGCACCCCCAGATCCTGTATACTTGTCTCGTGAAGCCCAGACGTCCTCGTCGGAAGAAGTGACAAAGGTGTCATCGCACAGCGCAGACAAACACGCCAGCCGCGACACGGAAAAGAGCCCCCCCAAAGCAACGACGCCGATCTCGCCACGGAACAGCAGCCCCGGGGCCATTCCTCTGGACCAGATCCAGCACCCGTTCAGCGAGGAGACGCTCACGGAGCTGCGGCGATGGTACCGGATCGCGTGGGCGTTTTTCGTCTTCGTGGTGCTGGTGACGTTCGTGGCGTGGCCGATGCCGCTGTACCGCGACTACGTCTTCACGAAGCCGTTCTTCAGCGGCTGGACGGCCGTCGCCATCGCCTGGCAGTTCTTCTCGTTCCTCGCCGTCGCCGTGTACCCCCTGTACGACGGGCGCCGCGAGATTGCGATGGGTGCCAGGGGCGTGTGGAATGCTGCGAGGCGGCGCTTTGGGAAATCTGCCTAACCTAGCCTAACATAGATAGGAGGTAGTTTCGCGGGAGGCTACCTGACTTGGGAGCAAAAGCTAGGTACCTAATTAGCTCGGGTGGATAGAGAGAATATTATAGATCTTGTCAGTATCGCTGGATAAGTCACTCTAGATTTGATACACATTACATTAGGTAGAGACTTATTGATCACCTGTTTCTCATATGAGTTTTGTATGTAAACCTATAAAACACTTTATCCGAAATTGCCTTGAAGACGACGTGAACAAGGCACGAAATATACTAATTACTTGTGATAGTTAGTTGATTACTTTATTAAACTATTAAGTCTACGACTATATAGGTCTCACCTGAGGTCCGAGAAGCATCTTGTATTGATACTCTCGATCTTACCTCCCACGACGTCCTAGATGTGTCTTTAAGCTCTTCTTCATAAGCACGGCCTGCTGCTGCTGCTGCCAAACTCCACCCGGCTTGTTCGTCTTGACGTCGTAGGTGGCGTTAGCGGGCAGCACTTTCCACTGGACCGTGCTGTTCCCTTGCCGGTACGTGCTCTTCTTGGTCCCCTGCGTGCGGTAATCCGAGCCCACGACCTGCTTTCCGGTCCGGACGTCGCGGCCCTGGATGACGCGCTCGAAGAACTCGAGGGCCGCCAGGGGCTGGTAGAAGGGCACCTCGTGGCCGCTCTCGTAGATCCGCGTGAAGCTGAACTTGCCGGACTGCTTGACCTGCCCGTGCGTCACGTTGTCGCTCGTCACGACGTCCGCGTACCCGGCCCGCGAGAAGCCCGGCGCCGCGACCTCCTCCACCACCGCCTCGTTCCCGAGCCAGTTGCAGTTGTAGTCTGCGTCGCCGGCGTAGATCGCGATGGTAATATTCTTCGCGATCAGGTACCGGAGCGCCTCGACCGTGCCCATCTCCCGGCTGTCGTCCCCCGTGCCGTCGAACGCGGTGCCGACGGCGTTCGAGGACGTCGAGAAGTTGGTATACGCGCCGATCGCAGCCTGCAGCTCCGCCGAGTTCAGGTAGTCCTGGTAGAACCCGTAGGGGAACGGGTCGGGCACGAGCTCCCGCATGTCGTACTCGTCGCGGCCGAGCACGTTGTCGTAGACGGACTCCACCAGGTTGGCGCAGAAGCTGTCCGCGCTGCGGCAGATGTCGTTCGACCCCGTGGCCTTGCAGTCCTTCAGCCGGTCGAGGCAGTTCCCGGGTCCGTACAAGTTGTTGTAGAACATGGATTCTATGGACGCGTTAAAGGGAGCGTAGTCGTACGTGTTTCCCGGAAAGACGGTGAAGTTGTAATAGGCTTGATACTGGAGTATCGGGTCGTACCATCCGTTGCCGATCAAGACCGACTCCAGCTGGATCTCCTTCGCGCCCGAGATATTCTTAGCGTTCTGCTCCTCGATATAGGCGTTGAAGATAGGTCCGTAGTGGCCGCCATAACTTTCCGTCGCAAAGTGAAAGCCGTTTCGCGAGTACTTGGGGAATGCGCCCATGAAACCTTGCAGGGTCTTCCAGAAGTTAGGAGCAGCATTGGTGGTGGAGTTCGCAGTCAGCGTGAGATTCGGGTAAGAATAGGTCCCGCACGAGCCAGCAGGCGCATAGTCGGGACATGTGGCATCTGGCAATACTACGATGTTGCCGTCGGAATGCCAGGCGTTGACCGGCTTAGAGTAGGAAAAGCCGACCTGGGTGGGTTGGTCTATGAAGAGCAAGTTGCTCACGTTGGACCAAGAGTAGGGGTTATTGTAGACCTTGCCGAAGTAATCGACACGGCACGGACCCAACTCCTCGAAGAGGCCAATCATAGAGCTGGAGCCCGGGCCACCGTTGATCCAGACGGTCAAGGGAGCCTCCGCAGGATCTTGGTTGCGGGACTCGAAAAACCACCAGAAGATGTGTTCATCTTCCCCGACGTCGGCATATCCCGAGTAACTCTTCACGCTGGGATCCAGCTCGCACGTCCCCGCAGGTACCTCCTTGTATCGAACGGGAACGCCAGCGTGGCCAATAACCTCTTTGAGAGAGGTTGGCGGCGCCACGAACTGAGCTAATCCGCGAGATGCTGCAGCCACAAGCAGCAGCGGCCGCACGAAGGAAGACATGGCGAAGGCGGCGATTGTCACGACCGGGTGTAATGTGAGTTTGAAGAGACAAAAACAAAATAAAACAAAACAAAAATAAATAAAGCCGAGGGACGCCCAGTCACAATTTATAAGAAATGTTCGGCTAGGAGCCCTATCACGATCACCCTGACCCCTGGGTACCTGGATAACTGGGCCGAGATAGACGATAGACGATAGACATGGTATAATTCTCACCGATCCAGGATTGATCTTGCCGTTAATGCATTGGTGCCATTGGGTGGTGGGATTACACAGTACACGGTATCTGCCGTGTTGCGTCCGGGGAGCCTGCACGTTACAATAGCGCCAAGCTTGAATAGGAATGCCATTGTTTATCTGCTGGGTCTGGCTATCACCTCACGCGGGGGTTCGATAATGTGAGAGTGCCACTCGTGAGCCTGTTTGTGAAAAAAAAAAAAAAAAAAAAAAAAAAAAAAAAAAATTAAAAAAATAAAAAAAAAAACAAAAAAAACAAAAAAAAAGGAAGGGTTTAAAAAGCCACCGTGCTTACACAATGAAGATTTGAGTTGGGAACAAATAA